ATCGAGGCGGGGCGGGTGCCACGCGCGCTGATTTTCGATGAAACTGTACTACGCCGTCGGCCAGGCCGCCCCCAGGTCTGGCGAAAGGGTTGTTATTAAAATGAAGGCCCCAGGTGCTGTGCACCCCCTGTGAGCAGGGTAAATAAAAATATAGGCGGGGTATGGGGCTGCAAAAGCAATCAGGATAGGTCTGCTCCATCACATGTGCGCCACGCACCCTTAACTGCACGCGCCTTATTTGAACCTCGCGAGTCGGATCAGCATGAGGTGACCGCGCAATGTGTTATTCATCTCTCGTTTCAAAGAAACTGGGTGAAATTTTAACGCGGGCGACGTGGGCAACCTGAACGGGGAGGGCCCCCTGTGGGCCAACCGGACTCTGGGGGCGGCTGGAGGCGCGGGAAAGGTCCATTCGCCGAGACAGGCTGGCGACGGGCGGCAGGGGGCCGGGCGGGGGGTTTGCTCTGCTTGTTTTCCTTCCATCTCTTTCTCCCCAGTTTCCGCCCGAGGAAAAAGGAAAAATCTCCCTTTTCTTTCCTCCCCTTCCTTATCATTTGTTTTTACGAGGACCCATAAGCCATCTTCTTATCCGTCTATTTCTCGCCACTCGCTCAGGTTGGGTAGATAAGTCGGTATGATGTGGCCGTGGTGTGCGCGGCTCAGTGGGAGTGTCGCGGGGCGGGCCCGGTCGGGTCGGTCCCGGGCGGGGCCGGGGCTTTGGGGTAAGTGCTGTTTGGTGTTGGCACTCCCCTGGGCCCTGGCCGCGCGGGGCGGGTGGGTGGTCTGCACGGTGGCGCGAGGGGGCGATGGCAAGCGGGCACGACCAGGCCAGGCCAGGCCGCGTCGGCCGCCGCTTCACTTCGCCGGCCCGCGACCCGCGACACTCGGCGCCGACCCGCGACCCGAAAATAAACGGGTGGGAAATCGACACGTCCGGGATTCCCGGGTCGGTGGGTGGTTGGGTGTCGTGGGACGGCGGCGAGTGTGCTCTATCGGCCACGTGTAGAAATAAGCTTTAATAATACTAGGGGCCCGTGCGTAGTCAATGTGCACGGGGTAGCTGAGCGAAGTGGGTTTAAGTTTGCCATTGTCTCAGTTGGTTTTTTATTTTACGTTTCCTGATTTTTTTAAATGATCCTTTTTTGGG